GGGTCGAGGCAAGGGGGGTCAAGCCTCAGCTGCGACATCTGATGCATCATTGATCTCTGCTATGGCAAAGCTTGTTCTCCGGCATGAAGATTCGCTAAACTCGATGCTATCAGACATCACGTATGTCAGCTACATGGGGCAATTCAGGCAGGCGTATATCTAATCTTTCTGTCGGAGACTCGGCTTCAGCAGTGAAATAGTGGAGTTGCTCCCAGCGGTAGAGTTGCTCCCGCCATGGCCCTGAATCAACTCTTCGCCTCACAGGGCAGCAAAAGAGCAGAGGAGTTACTCCGGTTGGTAGAGGTGCTCACGCCACAGAGAAACAATGAACGCAGCACACACAGAGGAGTTGCTCCCAGCGGCTGCTTCACTCACTGCAAGAACCTCTAAATACCTGGCCAACACACACAATAAGGATCATGCCACCTAGTCTTTGCGCTTTGAAGATAGGCTTTCACTACAGGCGCTCAGCAGCGGGCTGCAGCCTTTAGGGGCGGGCCTGCGTACCATGCAGCGTTTAGGCGCGGTGGGCTGAGCGCAAATGCGCAATGTTCACCTTCTTGTGCTTTCTAGAGGAGTGCGCAGTGTTGCTGCCTGGATCAGGCTGCACAGGAGTTGCTCCACCAAGACTTCAGCCCAGCTGCGTGGCAGGCGCATTAAATCACTGCTCTGCAGTGAGCAACTAAGTGGATGCAAAACACGCAGGAGCTCAGCTGCAAGGCACAGGTTACCATGCCTAAGCCAAGGAAGGTGAGCTATGTGCAGGAAAGGAACAGGTGCCCAGGTGCAAGTCATAGGTTCCCAGGTGCTATGCTTAAGAGTGACACCCAATTACCCATGTGCTAAGCGTAGGCGTCCACATGCAGGCTCGCAATGCCAGTTCTAGGCCTACCTAACATGTGCCCAGGAACAAGTCCTCATCGAGCTCATGCAGGTGCCCAGGTCCAAGGTAGAGGTGCCTCTAACTAGATGAGGCTGCGCAGGAGTTGCTCCACCAAGACTTCAGCCCAGCTGTGTGGCAGGCGTCTTACATCACTGCTCTGCAGTGAGCAGCCAAGTGGATGTAAAACACGCAGGTGCTCAGCTTCAAGGCACAGGTTACTATGCTTTTGCCCTAGTGAGCTTTGTGCAGGTACATAACACAGGTACCCAGCTGCAGGTCATAGGTTTCCAGGTGCTATGCTAAACACGCAGGCTCAGCATCGAACAATGTGCCTGTAGCAGCGAAAGTGTCTGACATTCAGCCAGAGCAAGTTGCACTAACTCTAAGTGCAGTTGCGGCGCAACTGAGCCTGAAGACGAAATGCAGATGTAAAGCGAAAGAGACTCGTTAGGTCCACAGCAGGATCAAGACAAAAGAAACGCCAGCACCATAGCAACATAATTCTGGAAGACTGATAGCCAGTCATGCAGAGTTGTAGCTCTGAAGAGCACTAGGAAGACCCTCAGCCAAGTAGACTCACTACTCGCAAAGCGAGTATTCTCACTCGACCAGGACAAGAATCTTTCCGCTGCGTGTGAATGAATGTTCCACACTGACTGAAATCTAAGGGTAGTCTGAGGATTTGACTTCTTTCTCTGTTTTACCGGCCTATTAAGAGAGCAGGGGATCTTAGCTCTAGAAGAAGATAGTTTTCCAGGTTACAGGAACTTCGTGGCCATCAGGCAAAAAGAATACGATTTGTACCCATTGTGTGCCCCGATTGTCGAAGATTTTGTTGTTGTTCCACCCTGACCAAAATTTAGGGGATCTCTGAGGCCTCGCCAACGTTCCCTTCCTTTTATGCGTTTGGGGGGGCGCCGGGGGAATATGTGGTCGGTGCCCAACGAAGACACCACATTTCCCCTGTGAAAACGTACCTGCGAGTAAGCCACATCTAGCCACTTGTTTGACGAACTCCGTTTTCAAACGCGCAAGCCTTGCAGTTTACAGAAGCAGACAAGACAATTCTTCAGCTTCTACGCCGCGCCTGGTATTGGCAAAGGATGCTCAAGCGAAGTGACCCTGAGCAATCCTTCATGTTGTTCCGCGGTTTCGGTCCCACTACTTCCAATAATCGTTGGGGATTGCCAGCCTTTCGGGGTGCGGAAGCCGCGCCAGCCCAAAAAACAAGTGCGCGCGTTCAGCATGACTGCGCGCGCAGTGGAAGTGGAAGGCAGCCGCAATGCAACAAGTGTGGAAGGCAGTTTGAAAGCTTCATCAATCTCAAGACACATGTAGAGAGCCAAGTGTGTCTGCATTTGGTTGATGCCGCCCGACGTGCTTAAGCCGGCGTCACATGGAACAGAACGCCTTGCCTCATCCAGGCGTAGAGAGGTGCTAAGCTAGCGTGTCACCAACGAATTGTTGATCAGAGAGGCGTGAAGCAGCACCTGCGTTCCAAACATTCAGATGTGATGCAGCTTCTTGAGGAGCACGTCGTGGAGGAAATGCATTCCTTCTAGCCTGTTCTCAAGACAGGCAGCCCGTGCAGGTACTGTGGAGTGAAACTTCAGTCCCCAGAAAGACACTCGACTCAATGTGTAGTCCTCCTACAGGCAGCCTTGGTGCGATTATACACACAGCCGGCTAACATCTTCAGAGAGCAATATCCATCTCAAACCTCCCAGTCAAGCCAAGAGCAGGTGCAAGCAGGATAAGCGAGGGTCGCAATGCGGCAGCGGCAGATGTAGACACAGACATCTGGCAGAGAAGGCCCATTGTGTTGCAGAATCGTCATCAGCTTTGCTGAACCAACAGCGCAGTTCTAACAGCCCTTCACACCCTTCGCGCTGAGCACTTGCAGGACATGCGCAGATATCTCCAAGCACAGATAGGACCTTGCTTGATTTCACAGGTGCCAGGCAGAGAACTTATCATAGGTCCTTGGATCCTAGCAGATAAGCAATGCGATGCAGCAGAGCTCTTCACTCACCTCACCAACTGCTTTGACATCCCAACCTGCCCTTGGTCGCTTAAGGTTAGGTATCCTGTTTTGTACTTTGAAGCAGAGCTCGGAGCCTTTTGCCCCTTACACCAAAGCGTCCCGCACAAACCTTGCAGGATCTGCTCGATGACTCGCTGGTGCAACAAGTACAACTTTAAGCGGACTCACCTCCCCAGGCAGCGCACCTAGTAATCAAGGGTCAGCCGGAGTATCTATGGTTCGGCTTGCGCAATGGCGCCAAAATCTCAGCCTTCTTCGAAGACCAAGATTGTGACAAAGCCTGCTTCGAAGCCCATGATGAAGCCAGCAAAGTTTGAGGATCCTCCATCTACACCACGGAAGCGCCGCTGCCGGAAGCCATGTGTGGGTGCGGGGACGAATGCGGGCGTGCCAAACCTCAGCACTCCAATCATTCATGCCCGGCTTGTAAGGTGGGGCTTGTCCGCCTTCTATTAGAGGCTGAGTCAGGTTTTCACTGCCTGATTTTTTTTTGGTGCCCCTTAGGAACAGGGAGCGACGACCAGCGCAGAAGGCAGCAGCAAGAAAAGTAGCCTTCAAGTGCAGCGCCTTGAATACGTGCTCTAAATCACCAAGATTGCTGAGTAACCGATACCTCACCCAGGCATCAGCCGGATCGGTCAGTGTGAAGCCCAGACAACGCACAGTGTCTGCAATTAGCATGCTTCAACTCATTCCTAACATCACGAGGGTGATGAAAGCATTCAACAAGAAAGAGGGGGCTGCCGTCCCTGGAGATCCAGAGTGCTATCAAGGCAGGCGGGGCAGCAGTCAGCGTGCTCACAAGGTGGCCAGCGTTTGATCAAGCATTCATTGCAGGAAGGGCAGACCTCAACGGACAGTGTTTGCTAGCGCCTCAGTGGGCATGTGCAGTCTTCAGCTGAGCAAGAGACGAGCGCCTTGCATCTTTGCCCCAGCAGCAAAATAATCTCTGCCTTATGCCATGCGCTACTTTGCATATCCGATCTATCCCGCAAAGGAGGTTCCCGTCAGCTCCAACGGACACGCAATTACGCAACTTGCGACCGAGCATTATGCCAAAGACTTGAAGAAGAGACAGAATCTCTCGAGCTTGTCGGGCTGAATCTGTCCTCTCTGATGCTTCTGGACACCTTTTCTGGTACCTGGTGTGGCAACAGGTCTTCTACCTGTGTGAAGAACAAGCCTTCTTTGATGCATTCGCAGAAAGCTTGAGCAAAGAGTTTACGGAAGAGCACATCTCCCGTTTTGGGACGGACCAAAGACCCAATCTTGAGCCAACAGCTCAGTGACTCGAAGCGTGTTTGAGGAAAACAGAATCTTGTTCCAAGCAGCTGGAACCATTAGATCACTTGAGAGCCTCAACCTTTAGAGCACGGCAAGCACGCAATCCCCCTTGTCAGTTAGCTGCATCCTATTACAAAGGCATACCTCAGGTGCTCTGCGCAGGCCAGTCACCCAATGTGACCTACAGCACCATGAGTTTCAATGCCCAATGCCACTTCTGCGTTCAACCATAGCTGAGACGTTCTCAGGCATGTGCACAGGCCAGTCACTCACGGTGACATGCAGCATCTCAGGTCTCCAAACAGTCAGTCACCAGTCCAGAAAACCAAAAGTCCCAGTTTCACCAGCTTCAAGGACACGCCATGCGAGATTCGTCCGCAGCATCGTGAGTGAGAGTGTTGCTGTTGTTGTCGTTGTTGCTGCCGCTGCTGTTGCCGTGGCCGTTGCTGTTGCCGTTGCTGCTGCTGTTGTTGTTGCTGTTGTTGAAAGGGATGATTTTGCACGATTTACAATGACCCCAGGCTGTAACAGTCTGGGTATGCTCTGCGGCGTGACATTTTCCTTTGAGCAGCATCACCCAACATCTCAAATCCATAGCGGCAAGAATCACCTACTGTTGTTAAGACATTTTCGGTTTTATCCAGGCGACGAGAGTTCCTTGTACTGATTTGCAGAGTTCTCTGGGCTTGCATGCTTCCCAAATTGAGGGGTGCTAGCCGTAAACCATCGTAAACCTAAACATTCAGCTACACCTTGGACCCTGAACTCCAAGCTCTACTAAACCAAAAGGCTCACTCCAGCCCTGGAGGCGAGGATAAGCACCTGGGAAGGCTTGAGCGTCTGAAATTGTTGAATTTAGGGTTTACGGACTAGGTTCAGGGAGCATTCAAGATTTAGGGCTTAGTTTAAGGTTTACACTTTAGGGAATCCAGTTCAAGCAGCTGGGTTGGGTGTTTTAATGAATAGGTTTGTGGTTTGGGGATGCGTGTTTCGGGATTAGGGTTTATTGCGTTGTAGGCCGCCTCGCAGACATTTGCAGCAAGAGTATGATTAACACCCCTTGACTAGTCTAGGAGTGTGAACTTGTCACGGAAGCTCGTATTGGGTGGGTCGGGTGGGGCTGGTTGTTGCCACGCCATCCTAAGCCGAAACCCTGTTTCATAAACCCCTAACCCTTAACTCCTTAAACCCTAAACCTCCATCCCGTAAAAGCCGTAAACCTCTGTACCCTAAACCCTGAGCTCTTGAGATGCTTTGGCAAGGCTTGTGCGGAGGCCGGCAGGACTTTGCGGTTGCCACCGATGGACTTGGGCGACTCCATTGGAGCTTGACAAGTGCGTGTCTGGACCAACGCTGGGCATTTTTTCCTTCGTTGTCTTACGTTTTCTGGGTTTTCGTTAGGGTGTAGGTCAATTATGCAGACATGCAGGTTGAATCCAAGATGTTAGCCGTAGCATGTAGTGTCAGGACTTGTTGAAAAACATGGGTTGGGGTCTACAATCAGAATTTTGTCATGTTGCGGCCTATCCTTCGGAGCCTATTCCCAAACCCTAGACGCCATATGGCTTTCTAAACTTGAATCTCTAAACGTTAAGCCTGAATCAGTGCTCCATCAGGTATGATGACACAGGCGAGGAGCAAGCTAAAGACTACGTCCACAGAGCCACGAATCTCCTCATCGGGGACATCCGAACACCTGATCATGGTTCGGGATGCAACTGTGTAGCGTTCCGGGTTCAGCATTCAAGGGCTGAGGTGTATAGGTAGTAGGGTTGACGATAAAACGTTTTGGCCTTAGTGTCTATGATGTGGGATGTTTAATCATAGACTGGGGTCCCCCAATTAGAAGGACATCCGCAGATCTCAGCAAGCCGGTGCATATTGCTTAGGTCTTACGATCTTGCATGTTGATCTTTTGGTGTGGCCAGTATTGCTGAAGCATGTGGGTGGCACGCATCGCTCTGATGCAGGATATTGCTACTGACGCGAATAAGCCTTGGAGCATCTACGAACCATCGTTCCTGGGGTGGACTTGACAGTACTGTTTTATACTTTCCCGCCGCAAGCCCCACAACTTAAGCCTGACTCCTGAGTAAGAGAGAGGATATGAGCCGTTCTCAACATTGGTAGTCCCCCCCATCTATACCCCCGCCCTTCAAAGTATAGTCCTTCCAAAAGGTCTAAGAGGCCGCCATGGGGTGGAGCAACTCCCCTATGGCCCTTGTTGACTTTGATATGAGGGTGAGAAGTACCTTCTTCTGTATAGGAATGTGAGCTGCCTCCTCATCATCCACCTCCTCTTCCCTCCTCCTGTCATAGCCTTCTCCTGTTCTCTTTTCGCGTCTTCCTCCTCCTCTTCCTGCGCCCGATCCTTCTCAGCTTGCTTGCACGCTTGTAGTCTATCATCTCAAACAGCTGCATGCTGGGAGGGCAATGGTGACAGCAGGGGTGTGCGTTGCGGCAGCTTGGAAGAAAACTCGTAGTGCGCGTTGCACATCGTGGATGTGACTAGTACTCACGTGTTCGACGCCGGGTTGAGGACCAAGAAGGAAGATGTGCCACTGAACGGGTACGGACTGACATCAGTCCAACAGCCAGAGAGCGAGGGTCTGTGAAAGCTTGCACATTCGCACGCAGAAACTTGTTCCCATCCTTCTTTTCATGCTAGTTTCCTTGCATCCAGTCTTCTTCCTGTCCTCCCTCACTCATGCTCCTGTGAGATAACAGATAACATGCACTATAAGCACGGACACAGAACTGTCAGATCCTCAGCTGGCATGGTATTGGTGGAGGGAGATCGCTGAAGTTTGCACTCGCTTGTCAGGTTTGACAAATTGCGGAAAAAGATCGACTCCCAGAGCGTTGTCGAAGCAGGTGGCGCGCGCATGTGCCAGGAAAGGCAGCTGCTCAAAACAGGGGTGTCCTCAGGGCACATGTTGGATTTAAATTGGATGGACTTGTGTATACTCAGAGGTTTTTGGGGGTGCGATATTATCCCTAGCGGTCAACCATAAACCGTAACGTAGACCCAGAACTTTGGCTACTCTACAAAGGAAAGTATGCTGAAGCACCCGGATCAACATTCTGGGGTCGAATCCACTACAAGCTAATTATGAATGTAGGGGCTAACTGTGAGGATGCCGATGGCACCAGATCTGGCGTTGATGAGTGGACCAATATGGGTCTCCTCATCTTGCAGATGGTGACCCACGATGACCCTCAGGCTCAAAATTACCACCTAGAGATGTATTTGTTGCACAATCTCAGGTGCAAGGCTATGGCCGGGCTTGAGGGTGTCTTTGCATGCTCATACAAATCCTGGTGATTCCTGTATGGTGGTGTCCTAGAGCAAGGCGATGTCTAGAGTACAAGTCAAATACCTTGATCTTGCGCAAACGTGTTGTATGCCGTACAACGCGGCTGCAAGATCAAGATATTTTCTTTGCACACAAGTTTCCAGGGAAGGGTGTGCACAGGCCAGGAAGTTAGCCATTTACATGCATGGCTGTCTGTCAGGGACCTACCTCCAAACCGCAGAGATGGGGAAACACTAGTTTCTGACATAGTAAAGCCACCTGCAACTGCCCTGGACCCCCCATCATTAACATTAAGCCCCAAGCACTAAGCTCCAAACAGAGTTTTGCAAAGCACCAAGGATTCGTTGACGGATTGCGCATCGGTCAAACCCTTTTGCAGCAGAGTTGGCGTCCAAGGCCTACGAAGCCGCCAATGGTATCTGGGACTCTGTTCTATGGGGTTCTTGCTCTAATTGGGTGACATGGGCTTTTAAGATATAGGTAGGTGTTTTTAGGGGTACCTCTTTTGTCAGGAAGAATCAAATCTGTGTTTCGGACATTTGTAGGCATATCGTACGGATATCATGGTCATGCTAAGCGAAAATAGAGCGAACTCAGAAGGATATCAGGAGAAACAACGAAGATTTACAGCATGTTGCTCTCTGTATGATGTTGGTTTGGTGTTTCTGTTTTCAGGTTTAGCAGTCGCGTTAGGACTCCTGAAGTTCTACTTCTACGATCGTGAACATTTCAGACACATACGCTTGGGTAGGTTCGATGGTTGGCGCAGTGTGGCTGCATCCCCCCCGCGAATTGGTGCCACAAGGACGATTATTCAGGACTCGCACGAGATTTGCAACAGAAGTCCGTCAACATAATCATAATCAAGCCGGTAGAACCTAAGAAGTTCGAACCTGCCGGGCAAAATTAGAAAGCACCATGTAGAAACTTTCTTGATGCTTTTTCATGTCCCGAGCGCCGCGCACTGCAATGTGCAAGCAGTGCTGGAATCTTCACCCGAAGACCTAGGCCTCAAACCTTACAACGCTCCAAGGCCCTAGCCCTAAACCTTGGCCCCGCAGGCCTTTAGCCGTAAAGCCTTTAGCCTCACAAGCCCTCCGACCATTTGCCTTCATGAGGTGCCCGGTCACCTGTGGCTGCGATGACCCGCTCGCTGGCTTGATGCTTGACACTCGGCATGCTAAATTGGGGGTTCAGGGCTACGTGGGGTTGTGGAATATCCGTTTTGTTGCGGGCTCGTTTTGACAATGCTGTTTTTGGACCCTTGTTCACAAAAAGATGAAAGTTACCAAGGTCTGAGCACAGTTCATCGCTATTTACAGGGTTTTGAAGGTACACTTCCAGTCAGGACTCTGTATGGGAAAAGAATATTTGGGTGACGGGGCTTTCTAGAACGTCAGAGTTATGAACTCAGTACGGAGGCAACACCTGACTGCTTAAGACGAAGCCCTTAAGACGCTTAGCCCATTTTCACAGTAAGACTGGTTCCATGATGCCTCATGCTTGGTATAATCTATAGTATAGTCATACGCGAGACCGCCTCGGCAAGTGTGGTTAAGGCCAAGCCGCCGCGACCCCCCGACCCCCCGCAACCGTGTTGTCGGCCTCGCCCAGGGGCGTTCTGCATTTTAGACCGACCCCAGCCTGTGCGGAACCCAGCCAACCAGCGGACCCCTCCCCAGCGCTCTAGAAACCGAAAAAAAGAGCCGATCGGGGCCACGGCAGGGGGTAGGGGGAGGGTTAACTTACTCTCCTGGTCCCCGGAAACGCCCTCGGCCTCAAGCCTCGGCGGATTTGCTTCGAAGATGACTTGCTTCGAAGATGATCATGCTTGTTGCCATTGTTGCTGTGTGCCAGCAGCCCAGGACAGGGTCGAGCAAGGTTGCCCAGCAGCTTGCATGCAGAGGCTTGCCTCAGTGGCGGATGGCGTCAACTGCAAGGCGCTTGGGCTCCGAGTTTGGGTCGTTTAGTCTTGGGCCTAGGGTCTATGTAGGGATTGGGGGTTCCAGCTTTGGAGTAAGGAATCAATGCGGTGTGCAGGGCTTGCCCCAGCTACCATCGGACATGGCGCTCAGCAGACTCAGGAATAAAAGAACGTGTCAGATTCGCTTGCAGGGCCAGTGATTCCTGCGGACTTGGGACGGGATGTAGGAAGGTGGAGCAGTGTGGTCAACTCTCGCGGAGTGTTTGTTTGAAATTGCTGAAATGTGGCGTTTCTGCAAATGCATTTTTCTTCGGTGTATGTCTGTGTTTGTGTGTGTTGTCTCTCGTCGTAGAGCTACTTCAAGTCTTTCTTGAGGCTCAGGTCCTGGATTTGCCAGGATTCAGCTAGCCAGCTAGGGGCCAAAAAATTAACAAGCGAGGCTTTCGGGCTGCTACTTGTACTGGTTCTTGGCACGGGAGACCTCACTCTGGGTGCTCTTATCGCAGCCAACTCTTGGTTCTGGCATGCGTGCTCTTGGACCGTGCTCAAGCGGAGTGGATGTCCATTGTTTTGCCATGAATGCCTGCCCAATAGCTGCGATGCATCGTGGCAACAGTAGTTTTCTGGCTCTAGAGGATCCCAAGGTGCTGTTTGGCCAGGGCGATGCAGAGCTTTGGTGTGAATGCCTGCTTTGTGCGTTTACTACATCTTGTCCGAGCCTAAAACAAAGGCCAAGCCGCGGACTGTCAAGAGATAGTTCGTGCTCGCTGCTGTTTTTTCTCTGTAATTTTGACTTTTCTTGTCATGTCTTTGTCAGGGGCTGTTTTGGGTATACGTTGTTTTGAAGGCTCCCTCAAAACACCCTACTAGACTACAACCCTAAAAATGGAAGGGAAGCTTAGAGTCGAGGGCTCTGAGTGTACGAGTCGCCTGTATGAACCTGGGCTACTCCCAGCTCCGCGTTCAGGACATGCCGCAGAATGAGACGGTATCGTATGCAGAAGCTGGGCTTGAGCAGTGCAAGAACTGAAGCACGGTCCTCGCTTTTTCTATGGAGTTATTTTGGTCCTGGACTTGTCAGTGCTTGACCCCATTCTTTGTCCAATTGGGGCAGGAAGTTCAAGATTACTGCCTGAAACCATTTTGTTGGAACCTGTGGATGTCACATGTGCCCTGCTCCAAGAGGGAAAGAAGCTCGACGCCCCGAACTCTAAAGAGCTTGCAAACACCAAAGTCCAAAACAACCAGTCATGTAACCCTAAGCGCTGCAAGACCCAAACCCAAAACGCCCAAAAACGTCAACATGCTAAGAAGTATTTAGGGTGAATTCTTGGGCTGTTGGGATTTTGAGGGTGTAGGGCTTTTGAGGTGTTGGGGGCAGTTTTAATCGGGGCGGTTTGCCGTCAAAGGGTTTTGAGACTTCCAAGCCTTGAAAACAGCCCTCAGCCCCGAAAAATGACTTAACACTCCCCGAACCAACCCGGAACGGCCGCAAACCCTGAAAAACACCAAACCCCAAAACACACCTGTGCTGCATAAAACAAACTGAGCCCTTATACAGAACTAGACCTTAATCAAGACTGAACATATAGCCCCAAAGGACGCTGAGCTGAAAAATGTCCGGAGCTCTCACAAGCCTCATCAATCATGAAAAAGTAACCTCGGACATGCCCTAGCCGCCTTTAATCAGAAAAAGCCACACCCCCGAAAATTCACATAGAAGCACCTCAGGCCCTAAAAGCCTCAGACCTGAAGCAGCCCAAGTCACAATCAACCCTGAACTCTCCTAATTAATCCCGAACACCTGACAACCCAAGCCCCAAACTGCCCCTAACCCGCAAAATGCCGTGAGTCACGAAGCGTGAAAAGCAGACCCTCAAAATCCTTAACTCTTGTATGCCTTTTAAGCGAGGAACCCTAAATCTTGATCTGTGAATCAACGAAGCCCTAAACGCTCCAAACCCCTGAACCTTAACACGGTGTACTAGTGAAGGGTCATCACTCTTCCTAGCCGCGATCGAGTAGCGTGCTTTGGTCCTTCACCTCGGAGCTTCAGAGGGGGGAGGGAATATATGGAGTAAATAGGGAACATATTTTAATTGAGGTTATTTAGGGGTAATGGAAAAGAACCTGATAGGATCAACGAACCCGACTGCAGACACGTGACGCGTACATCGCAAAGGCAATAACTCTCTCTCCTCTCCCTCCTCTCTCATCTCTCCTCTCCTCTCTCTTCGCTCCTCTCCCTCCCCTCTCTCTCATCTCTCCTCTCCTCTGTCTTCTCTCCTGTCTCGTCTCTCTTCTCCTCTCTCTCTTCTTTCCTCTCTCCTATCCCCCCTTTCCTCTCTCATGTCCTCTCTCTCTCTCTTCTCTCTTCTCTCTTCTCTCCTCTTTCCTCTTTCTTATAATCTCTCCTCTCTCCTCTCTCCTCTCCCTTCTCTACTCTCTC